GATTTTACATTTTACATATCATAACAATATATATATATATATATATATATATATATATATAATATATATATATATATAATATTTTAAACCTGCCGTACAAAATTAGTGAAACAAATCAACTTAGCAGACCATCACATTGGAATATTTGCATATGCTAATTTACTGTGCACCAACATCAATTACTAATCTTATGGGCATTAAGATCAGAACACAACGGGGTACCAACATTGGAAAGGCTGGTAACAGAATAGCACCCTGGGAAAAACGACTGCTGAGGAAGATTAAATTACTACGTAAAGACATTGGACAAATAACGGAATACGTACGAGGAATAAGAAGTAAAAGAATAATCAAGAGAGCTGAAGAAATATTACTTAAATCTTATTAATATTCTTAAATATTACTTAATATTCTAAGACACTCACGACATGATCTAAAAAATAACACATCTCAACAATTCCTAGAGACGTTAAAACAAAAACTCTCTGTTTATTTAGGCCGTCTGAGGAGATACAAAGTTAGGAATGACCGAAAATGCGATAATATACTTTTTCAGCATGCAGGCAAGGCGATTTATAGCAAAACTTAATTCCAATGTGAAAACTGAAAATACATCACATTCAAGCTAAGAAGAAATTTACGAGTTTTAGGGAAATCAACTTTTAACGCCAGCTACTTCTAACACCAATGCTAGATGGATTAAAAACACAACGAATAACTGTCAGCATTACAATAATATTTCTTACGAACCCTTTACCACTAAAGATGGCTCAAATACTATCAAATAGCTTCATATTTGTAAATCTCCTGGACCAGACTAAGTTAAGAACTTCTGGCTAAAGAAGTTTTGGAGTCTTTATGACTCTTTGTTTATGTTTATGTAATTAATCATTCTATCTCTAATCCACAGAAAATACAATCATTTCTTACAAAGGTAACTACTTATCTAATACCAAAGGATCTAAAATAACAAATTGGTCATTTCCTGTGTAGCCCTGCGTATCTACCAATACTGTGCTCCAAACAATATCATAGAGCGTCTTCAGAAAATATGCGCTAAGGGTTTCATGGGTTCCAAAGAACAACTTATTATCGACTCAGTCATTTTTAATCAGGTATACACCAAAAAATGGAACCTTTTTACTGCCTTCATAGACTACATGAAGGCATTTGATTCAGTGCCGCATGAATTTGAATTTCTTATAGATATATTAAAGACATATAAAATCAATCATAATATAGTGTTCTTTTTAAAATATATAATGACAGATGAGAAGACTATAATTCACCTTTAAATACTTAATAAAAAATAGATCCGTCCATCTGGCTTTTGTTGATCTTAAGAAGGCATATGACTCAATACCTAGAACCACGCTATGGGAAGCAATGGAAGACATCGAAGTTCCATGAAGATTAATAAACGCGGTAAAAGCACTTTACAAGAATAACGAAGTAGCTATCAAAACGGGCAATAGAATATACAGTCCATTTAAGACGACAAAGGGACTACTACAGGGATGCTCCACATCCCCCACCCTGTTTTAAATATTCCTGGAAAAAACCCTGGAACTATGGAAAAGAAAGTCCGAAGGAATGGGTATACCAGTAAGGAACGAATATCTATATACGCTAAGTTTTGCTAACGACCAAATAGTGATCGCACAAGACGAGGATGACCTCAGTTTTATGATGAGAAAACTGGAGCAGGAATATGTAAAGAATGGGATGGAAATAAACCTAAAGAAAACTGAATACCTAACAACGGAGAATACAGAAATAAAACAGCTGGAAATAGACGAAGGTAAGCAAATCAAAGGTATAGACAAGTATAAGTATTTAGGTTTCATAATATCAAACAAAGGAACAACGAAGGAAGATATAAAAAATAGACTAGAACAAACAAGAGACTGCATACGAAAATTGAACCCAGTACTATGGGATAAGAACATCAGCATGAAATCAAAGAAAACAATATATAATACCATGACAAGAAGTATCCTCACTTATGGGTGTGAAAATTTGACCATAAATAAGAAAACCAAAAACAAAATAAAAGTCACAGAGATGGAATTCCTAAGGAGAAGCTGCAGAGTAACAAGAAGAGATAGAATAAATAACATGGAGATTAAGAGGAGAATGGGAATGAACTCCGACATAATAGACATGTCAGAAGAGCAGACCAAAATCGGTGGATAAATAGAATAACAGAGTGGAGCCCGATAGAAAGAAGAAAGAGAGGTAGACACCAAAGATCTTTCAGAGATGAAGTGGACTAAGCAATGAGAAGAAGAAACCTACAGTAAGGGGACTGGCTAAACAGAAAAAATTGGAGAAAACGGTTAAGTGAAGGAATACAGTGAAAACTGTGGAAATCCTTGTGTATATACCTATATATACTGTAATAATATCTTATTCAACAATTCAATAATACATGAACGATATACTAATTAAAAAAAAAATTTCAATTAGAAATTCTAAACTAATATCTCCCCAGACTGGGATCTAACTTCATCGGTTTTACCAATGAACCTTAACGACTTTGATATCAAAAGAACTACTTGTAATTGTTTCGGCGCTTGCGTTCTATGAAAACAGAAGCTCACATTCAAACTTTACAACAATTAAAAATTTAGTTATTGCCGACAATTCAAAGAATTACTTCCTTTAAATGTAGTTACATTGGGTTTTTCGATTGTCCTTGGGTAAACCTTTGGGTTTTAAGTTCAAAGCTACCATACATTTCCAACGTTCACAAATAAACTTTTTTGCACATAGTAACAAAAAAACACCACTATGTTGTTACTAGCTAAAGTTTTTTAACATCATAACTCGACATTTCTAAAATTTCACGGTAAGGTAAATGTTTTTTATTAGATAATATATGGTAGCTAATTATAATTTATTCTCTTTCAGCCCTGAAGAAGCCAAATTCTCTTTGGCGAAAACGTTAGGTGAAATAATTGATACACATTAGAGTTTTTTTGCAGATTTCCCCAATATTTAAGAGTTTACTATTTAACTTATCTGCAAAGATTAAATTTCTTTTCTCTCTCTCTCTCTCTCTCTCTCTCTCTCTCTCTCTATATATATATATATATATATATATATATATATATATATATATATATATATATATATATATATATATATATATATTACAGCTAGCTCTTCAGACCTGCAGGTTCATGGCTTCTATTTTCTTCATTATTTTGCTCCACTCGTCTCATCTCGTCCTTTTTCTTTTTTTCCTCAAGTCCAATATTCTTAGTTCTCTTAAATTGGTGTTAACCTCTTCTAACTACGTCATTTTTGTTCTTCCTCGCCTGTGCTTTCCACCCGCTTCTCCTGTTAATACTTTTTTTTCATGTCTGTTTGTGAACATTATGTATAAACATGTTCAATCCAACGTGCTCTTTGTGCTTTTACCTTTTGTATGATCCTTGGTTGGTTGTAGATGCATAATACTTTTTTTCCCATCGTTCCAATTTCTGTGTATTTTTCTGACTCATCACGCAAGTTTCGGTGCCATACATAACCGAAGGTTGTACAATCGTTTTGTAAATCCTGATCTTCGTATTCCTGGACGAAACTTAGATTTGATCATTCTGTTTAATACTCATATATCTGTATTTCCACTAGTAATTCTTTTTTCAATTTCGTTATCTTTTTAGGCTCTATCTGTAATCGTTACTCCAAGCTATTCGAATTGATACTCCACTTTTAAAACAATATTTTCTACTTCCGCTACTTATTCTTGAGTCATCTTCAGGCTTTATTTTCTTCGCTCTTCGTTTATACATAGTCCGAACTTTTTCGTTGTTTTGATTTTTTTAAATATTCTTATGAGTTTAAACGCGATAACTTGTTCTATGTTAAATAAGAAATTATACTTAATTTTACGTTAAATAAAAAATTTACTGTCTCAATTCTACGTTAAATACGAAATGTAAGCTCAGTAGTTATCGAATGGTGGGTACTGGAAGTGGAAGAGTGTTGTTGAAGATTAGGTAGTAATAGGACTTAGATGTTGACGTTTAATGCTTTTTTCAATTTCGTTATCTTTTTAGGCTCTATCTGTAATCGTTACCCCAAGCTATTCGAATTGATACTTCACTTTTAAAACAATATTTTCTACTTCCGCTACTTATTCTTGAGTCATCTTCAGGCTTTATTTTCTTCGCTCTTCGTTTATACATAGTCCGAACTTTTTCGTTGTTTTGATTTTTTTAAATATTCTTATGAGTTTAAACGCGATAACTTGTTCTATGTTAAATAAGAAATTATACTTAATTTTACGTTAAATAAGAAATTTACTGTCTCAATTCTACGTTAAATACGAAATGTAAGCTCAGTAGTTATCGAATGGTGGGTACTGGAAGTGGAAGAGTGTTGTTGAAGATTAGGTAGTAATAGGACTTAGATGTTGACGTTTAATGCGAAGTCAACGTTCGTGAGCTTATACATACAAACTTTCTATTGTACCGGAACTAAGCTCTCCCAAGATCCCAAGTATAACCTTACATCACCGTTGTATATTGAACTTAATTTTCTAAAGTCTTACTTTTGGCCTGACATGGAAAACAACCGACAATAATCTAATCGAGATCGAATTAGGGATCTATATTTTATTAACATTTCTTCGTATGCTTTCTGTTAATAATGTACCATTAGTTTTATGAAATTTAGTATACTAGTGCGACTGTCCTTTTATATGCAACGTAAATATAAACGTACATTTTATCATTTGTTTAAACAGAAGTTTCAAGATTTTGTCATATTTTACTGAAAGCAAAAGTGCACCCTCTAGTATGTTCCAGGTTGTCAAAAACTAGAATATTTCTAGTAAATTTTAAAATTTTGGATTTTATGATCCAAAGATCCAAAAATTACAGATTATAATTATATATTGGCCATTTTGTGCCGACTAAGGAAATACTATTTTAAAATGTATTTAATATACTTATGTTATGTGACTTCTTATTTACCATTTTCCGTTTCAGCTATACCAGAATACAAAAGAAATATGTCCGTTCCTCTCGACATGCCTGAACCTGAGGAACAAGTTAAGTTAAAAAAAGTAGCATCCTTTACTTTAAGTAGAACAGATCTAGAAGCGAGAATTACAAAACCAAAATTTGTTCCAGAAAAACTAGACTTTCAACTATATGAAAAATTTGAAGGTAAGTTAAATCTGATTTTAGTAAACTTATTTAATTTTATATAAACTTTGTTCTTCAACCTATTTCATTAGAGACTATAAAGTGTAAACGCATGCCAAAATAGATCACTTGAGAAAGGCAATCAGCCAAAACCGCTGTAGTGATAAGAAGTTAAAATTAATTTTGTGGAAGTTTGAAAACAAAGTTTTCAGTATTTTATTGTTACATGAAATAAATTTCAATCAAGTTACGGTCGAATTCATCAATGATTTAATTTTGATACAGCAGACTGTTTAATGATCGTTTTATATCATCCTCTGTTTTTTTATAGTAGTCTGAACATGCCACTGAAAATACCACTGAACCTCTAAAAATCATACGACCAAGCTGAATTTCGGTAAGAATGTCAATATTCAAAAAAGAAAAAAAAAATCAAAAAAATTTTCAAAAAAGTTAAATAGTACTACTCCCCGGCTTGCCCCTAAACACCCCTCGTAGAGGGGGAAAACAGAAAAAAATCGATTTATCATGAATCTGTACTTCGTAGAAAAAATGATTCGAATAAAAAATATAGCTACAATAATTTTAAATAAAAATGTTCATAAGCATTTTTGTGTAGAATGAACCGTTCTCTCAGAAACAATGCTTGAAGCGACTGGCGATTTTGAATGCCAGTTAAGCACGCGAAATCAATTTTACATAAATAAAATTTGTATCAACTCGACCTTGGCAAATAGGGCAGTTTTGTTTGTTGACGTAGCCATTTAACCAAAAGTGAGCTTCATCGCTAAACACAATTCGCTTATGAAATTTGAAATCAGTGACAATCTTGTTTTGGATTCACTCCCCGAATCTATGAATCTACACCTGGCAAGGTAATGATGTACCTTCAATTATTGCATGAGTTAGATTTTGTAAGCTGAAAACAAGATATTTCCTCAAAATCTTTGATGGACACGTATCCAACCGCAGTGCACGATGATAGATAGACTGATCCGGGTCTCACTGTATGCTAGGTTCTACAGCAGCAACAACTTCTTCTGTACGCACTGTAAGACATGTATGTGGATGCATACTATAATTTAGAGTAAACGTGGTGCAAAAATCTTCTATAGTTAACCGAATTACTTGCTCTGATGTATTATTATGTTGGCCATAAATTGGAGGTAGTGCGAGATACATATTTCGAATAGAACCACAATTTTTAAATAAATTTGCTCAATTTGAAAGCCTTGTTCAGGAGTCAACGCTATTCATGCTGAAATGCCAGACCAAACTTAACATACATCACTTGACATCTATCAACAGTTAAAAAAATGTTGCCAACTTACATTTCTGTAACTATAAAAAACACCCTTTATAACATCTAATAACGACTAATTATGAATCATACTGTATTTTATTTACTTAATTTTTACTATATCAAGACGTTTTATACTAAATATTGATTATGACGTACGATTTAAAGCTTATAAGTTTCTGTTGTATATTTTAATTCCTTTTTATGTAGGAGATCGATTGCCCTTCGACCCTCTATATTTAATTAAATCAATATCGTAAATCATACCTTCTGTCGAACTTTATTAACTTCTCGGTGCTGCAAAAATTAATAAATCCTCTCCCGTAATTATTATAAGCTATTTATTATTAGAGATCTATAATTTTTACAACCAATATTGGTATATTGCTGCTTATAGGTGCAAATATTTTTATAGGCTTTATTAAAATTGTTATTGTTACTAATTACTAAAGTAATCTATTTATATCTAGAGAGTACAAACGTTAGCTTTAATGAGTTTATTTTTTTTTTATATTATATAAGTGCGAATTACACTAATATTCATCGATTTTTCCTTGAATTTTAGACAAAATTGGGATTACCTTAACAAGCAAAATTTACTCCACGCAGAATGTCTTGAATTGGGGGCGAATCACCCCAAACGTATTGGAAAGTTTATTGAAAATAACACAGAAAATCAAAAAAATAAATACATTAATAAACAAAAAAAAAATAATAGAGTGATTTCGAAAATCAATACTGTCTAGACTATTCGTGATTAAATACTAAACTTCATCTTTTCCCTGAAAGTGCCCCTCATCCACTCAATCAGGTTGGCTACTCTACAATTTAAACTCCTTCTCTATTTTTCAGCTGTTCTTATTATCTGTTCAAATTTAGCCTGTCCATTGCGGATGTTTCTGAGCCACGATAATCTCCTTACCCTCGATTTTTTCCTTTCACATATGTTGAGCATAATTGGTACTATTATTTCTCAAGTATGTGGCCATAGGTATGATGTTTTTCTAACTTTTAACTGTGTTAAAAAGTTTTCCTTTCCTGCCTATTTCTATGCAGCAACTCTTCGTTTGAGGTATTCGATGTCCATTGAAATTTTGGAGTATTCTCAGTGTAGATCCGCCTTTCAAAGGCCTCAATTTATTTATACGGTTGATTTTTAAAGGGTCCACATTTTCACTGCAATATAGAAGAGTCCGACCAGACGTAGCATTTGATAAACAACAGTTGAATATCGAGTTTGTTCGAGAATCACAAAGCATTTTTTTACTTTGTTTCGAAAGATTTTCCGGCTTGTCTATTCTCTTAATTTCTTGATCAGGGATTTTAGGCTGCTAACGATCCATACATCCCAGTACTTAAATCTATTGACCTGTTCCCCAAAGATGTGCCATTAATTGGCAATGCAGGTTGAGGTACGTTTTGTTTTTTCGATTTACATTACTTTGGTTTTTTTTTAATGTAAAAAATTGTTTATTTTTTCATACCAAATTGCTCACAGGGTCGAGTTTGTCCTTGTCTATGAGGTTTCGTTTGTCAACTCTCAGCCAAATCCGCAATTAACACTGTATCTCGCGTATCTGATACTTTTGATATTTACGGCCATTCACCTTGACTCCATCCTTGGAACCTCACAATCTTCTTATAATAGAAATCGGAGTAAAGGATTAACAGCAAGGCGACAGCACACATCCTTGTCACTACCCCGCCCTCCTAATTCTACTTCTTGTTCGCGAGCAGATGTGGAACCTGTCGATCCCTTAATCTCTGGCGTTTTGTTCCAGTAACAAGTTTTTTTAAGAATTTATGTCTTTTCATCTAACCGACTTCTTGCAAACGTCTAATATAGTCGAGTCTTACTCTATCAAATGCCTTTTGAAGTCTATTTAAGCATATAAATATATCTTCTGTTGGTCGTAGCTTTTTTGGGCGAGAACTAGTAACTGAACAGGGCTTCTCGTCGTTCCCAATGCCGGGAGCTCTGAATGGAATCAAACTGATCGTCACCCCGATATTGTTTTCGCACTTTCTATGAGAACATTATGAACGATTTTTAGTAGAGTTTTTACTGCATGACTCATAAGGCTTATCAGAACGAAACTCATTGCAAGTGTTGTGAGATTGGCTTTGGTTTTTGGCAGTGGGATGAATATTGACTCAGCCGAGCTTTGGGGTATTTTTACCTGTAACAAAAATGCGATTGAATAAAAGGACAAATAATTCGAATTTTCTTCGCTGAGTAATTTTGAACGTTTCCTTTTCTGGGTATATCCGTCTGTGACCTGGGCTTTTATTTGTTTTGATATGAATAATTGCATTTATGATTTCAGATTTTTAGAATTGTGTTGGCCTTCGTTGTTATTTTCAAATAATGGTTCTATCTCGTATGTCGTTTAAAAAGAATTTTAATATAGTTTTTTTTCCCCCCCCACCATTCTTCAGTTTTTATCATATCTTCCGTTGATTCTAGCGTTTGTCATCCGTGTTCAGCATGGTGTGAAAAGTCGTTATCTCTTGGTAGTCAATGTAAACGCTACTCTTTTACCTTTTGATGCAAATTAAAAAAATCGTGGTGCCTTGTTGCAGTTCTTCTATTTCAAACGCATTTTGCTTCCAGCCATTTATTTTTGGCTTTTCCCGGTTTTTATATTTTTTTTTCAAATTATTCTATTTAGATCGTTTTTGAATTCTCCGTCCTTGTCATTATTTCCTTTAGATTCTCTTCGGTTTTTGTTACATTAATTGTAAAATCTCTTTGTCATCCCATTCCTGTTTGTTATAGTTCAGTTTAGATTACTTTTAGATGTTAATCCGTTACATAGAATCCCATCTTTTTCATTAATAGTTTTGCCACAGAACGTTTATGGTCATCGTACTCGCTAATTCTATGTGTCGTTATTCCTATATTTTTGTTTGATTCCAACCATGTATCATCGATTTTTCGCGAATAACTCAAAAAAATTACGTTTCACAAAAAAAAAACTGTTAAGGGTAAAGAGTAACTGTAAATGTGTATAACAAAAAAAACAAAAAGATCTTTTTTAATTTTCAATGTAAACCTAATATAAACCAGTAATACCTTATTGAAGGTGAAAGTTGCGCATTTAACAAAAATTGTTAAAAATTCTACATAGAAAATAAGAAAACGATCAATTTTACGGGAAGAATTCATGGTATCATTTAGGTACGTGAAAGAAGCAATAAAATGGGACGTGGCAGAACTCTTTACCGTATGAACTAAGGAAGTTATTACGAAAATAAGATTGATTCTCAGAGACAGTTAGGTTAGGGTTAATACCAGAAGCACAAGTTAGATTTTAGAGCTCAAAATGCCAGCAAACTACAAGTTCTCAGACTTACAGAGTACATAGCAGCTGGATTCAACGACTAGTACTATAAAGGCACAGCTTTCATGAATGTAAGCAAAGTCTTCTACAGAGTGTGACATGAAGACCTGGCATACAAAATGAGAGATTATGGACACAGAGAGGCTATGATGAAACTTATTTCCTTTTACTTAAGCGACCGGAAACTCAGGGTCCAGATAAGAGTAGTTCTACCTAAACACGAAATCCCGGAAGCTAAAGTACCATACGGAGTAGTCCTTATCACCCTTCCTGTATAGCATATATACAGCAGACGTTCCAAGAATACAAAGAACACTAATCAGCCTTTATGCAGACGACACTGCAATCGAGCCCAAGCATAGAAACCTGGATATGAC